ATCTAAGATCCCTGGCTCATGCACCGCAGCCTGGCCTGAAGCCTCAACACAAGCTAAGATTCCAGGCAGCGCATAACTCTGCACAAAGTGCAACATGCAGCAACCGAAGTTTGTTTCCGGTGACTGCTTTTGGGATTTTAGGGTTTCTTCACTGTGTACCGATCTACGTTCCGTCCTGGAATCGCTATCTATGCATGCAAGCACGTGTGCCACTTGAATACCAAATATCTATCGTTTGGGGTTTTGCTCTTGAGAAGACGATTAGGGTTCTAACGTTATGTATGTATAAAAACCCGTAGAGGCAGTCCACGACGTTTTTGAGAACGTTAGCTTTCCATGACTGCTCCATACTCTTCCGATTTGAACTTCACAGCTGTTAAATTCCACTGGGATCTGAAGACCATACTGGCTTCCTGACTTGCTCAGTTCGAGTTCTGCGGGATGTGTGCCTCCAATCTAGTTTCCTTTGTGTGAGTTCCTGCTGCTGTGCTCTCTTCACCAGCGTGTGAACACCCTGCTGTTCTCTAGTTTGCTTTATGGATCATGCAAACGGGACATGCAAAGCTGCCATCGCCCACCCGTTCTGCTCCGGTCAACTGGTCTTCATGGATGCCTCGATTCTTAGTCAAGTCTCCTCTGTTGCTCTCTGTCTCTACTGTCCCGATTCTGACAATTAGGTTTGAAAGTATGTCCATGAAAGAGGTCCTCAGTTATTTTTGTTTTTTGTATTGGTTTTTGGAGTTTGCTTCACACAAGTTCATTGAATGAAAATAATATAAAAACAAATCTAAGCTTAGGTGGGTGCAGTAGCAATTATTCTATCTGTTTTAGATGCTTCGACCTTGTCGGAGAGGAATTTTTTTAAATGATGGATAAGAAGACGACAGATGTTCACTTATGTAGGAAGAGTGCTACTGTGTGTACCGAAGAAAAAGGAGACCAAAAGAGACAACTTACAGTATGGGAGGTCTCAAGAACAGTGTCCAGCTATTGTTCTCTGAGAAACAATGTATGTGTTGCTTTGAGGGTATTGAACATCGAATTTGATCTGGTTCCATGCTCCTAGATCAGATTTTTAAGACAAAATATCTTCTTCCGGGATGAACAGGTCTAGTTGCACAGAAATCACTGATCTTGGGAGAGATCCTTTCGACGATGTCAACGAAATTGATAGTGATAGTAACTCAGTGCCAGCAATGTAGGCATCTTTCGGAGAGGAACAAGTTACTAACACCCACATGAACCACCTTCGTGATCAGTCCTGTGCATGCATGTTGCGTAGTTTTGGGTAGTAAGAACTTTTAATGTTGCTTCAGAAACTCCTACTGAAGCATCCCATTGGGGCGTGAACTCGAGACCATACGGGGACACACTCTCTTTGTGCGAATCGAACTTCTTTAAACATCGAGCATGTTCCGTGATTTTAAGGGGATATTTCGAATACTGAAGTAAAGATGGTTAATTTTCCAAGTGTAATTGGAGGTCCTGACCGTGGCGCTGTGAACTGTGGGTCTATTTTTCCGCGATAAAACGTCGGCGTGTGCCAGGTTTTCTTGCATGAGTGCTTTTTAGCACGTCTCTTCCAATTTCCAAGTTTATTCCATCTGAACTCTCTATTGCCTCCGGATGCCGTCAGATTTGCCTGACGAACTCTGCAGCACTTAATTTCAAGCCATCATTCATGCAGCACCTTCAGAATTAATCTATTAAGGAAATCGAACTATGCAGCAGTTTTTCATTCTCCTCATCGATTAAGGTGGATTAGAGAGGAATCCAACCTGACAAAGAGCACCAAAAGAATTTTAAAGTGGTGTTTTCTTAACTTAGTGATAGCTCAATCATGGTAGGGATGTTGCATGGCAAGGATAGCTCCGCCGGTCTAGTTGTCTGACTGAAGTACCAATTCCTCCAAGAAATATGCAGTTCTTTATTCTGTAAAATTAGATTGCAGTCTGGGTCTTCTTAGAAATCGCAGCGGATGAGTCGCTCAAGAACGTCTCGGGAAGAACCAATTGGCTTGAGATGTGTTACGATTGATTAATGTAGAAACTCAGCAGACGCAATTGGCCACTGCAGTAACACGCATCACCTATCTTCTGCAACGCGGTCTAATTTGCAGCTCATGCCTTGAGACCAGCACATGATTACTCTAGGTCCAGGTCTTCGAACGTCCTCCAACGAAATTCCACAGGAAACTGTCAAAAAAGCAGCAGTAGGCCTCAGGGACAAGGGCGATACGGCACCAAGCAAGGCCCGAAATAGTCGAGTTTAAAATCGGCTTCAAATTACTTGGTTAGATTTCACTACGTGTACGTAGTCTGTACATGATGAACGATGCAAACTCTCGCGAAGCACAAACAAGCGCTAGGAGAAAGTCTCGCTAAACTCACGCAGTCGAAAACAAGCTTCCTGAGCTCGTAATGCCGCTCTACAGCCCAGCAAATAGCAATTCGAAATTTTGCAGCAGCACTTCGGTGCGCAGACAAGTGCAACAAAAAAAGCCTCCACGATCGCCGCGCACGGTGGAAGCTTCGAGAGATGATTACTCTCGTCAACGCCCGTTGACCGATTCCAATGGCCACGACTCTTTTTGTGACGATTTTCTCTTCCCGCCTTTCATTTGAAAATTTTAATTTTTTTTGAAATTATCTTTTAAAGTAAAAGTATGAAAATCTAAAATTGTTTTAAACGAAGAATCAAGTATTGTGATGAAAACCGGTGTGTGTAGAACTGCTAATCAGAGTACATTTAGAACCCTGAATTGCATCGCATCTAAAATTTTTTGAAGCTACGACAGAATGCACAATTGGGTGTTATGAAGTTAACACTAAAATAAAAAGTCTATTATTTTGAGTAATATTTGAATCAGACATTGCCATTTTTATTGATGTTACCGTTAATTCAAAAATAATACCAACTTGCACAATTTGTCCAATTTTCTTCATTGACTTCAAATATACGAATTACCTCTAAATTATAATTGGCATTCTGGAATGTCAATCGTGTTGGTGTTTGGTTATTTATAAATTGCAAATGATATGTGGATCATTTGTGAATTATACAATTTTATTTTTCACTGTCGCTGTAAAGATATTTTTAAAATTTTGAAGATCTTGTCCATCAAGTAATTTATTTTTTGTACTTTCATAAAAAAAAATCTCCAGAAAATCACATGGTGGTTTGTCTTTTTTATAAAATAAGATAAACTTCACATGATTGATACAATAAATAAATGTTTATGTATATATATATATATATATATATATGAGTATAAATATGTTTAATTAAGTATACAAGCAAATTAATTTTTACAAATGTATACCATGAAACACAATTGTGTGCGTATGTGTGTGAATATATATATATATATATATATAATTTGTGTGTAAAACTTCAATAGAAGCAAAAATTGGGAGAATCTTGCTATAACTGATTTAAATATATGTTATTGATTGACCTCTAAACCTGTTATGAAAAAAACAACATGAAAAAGTATATAAAAACCACTATTTGTTTTTTATACATAAACACACAATCTTAGGATGAAGATATAATTTATTCATCTACGTGAGCAATCCACATACATTTTGTTCCTTGTCCTATGTTTTTTTAGTTCTGAAATACATTGCAAATGCTAGCAAAAAAATGTCCCAAAAATAGAGAGTCACAAAATTTTATTACAAAAGCAACAACGTTGTGGTGTGTGTTGTGACAAAGTCCTACGATTCCAATCCCAACCCAGTCCACCTGTCCACACACTGCCACATCAGCAGATATACCCAGGTGTGTCTCTGCCTACGTGGAAAAATTAGCTGATTCCGTCTGAACTCTTCCACCCTGAGTTGGTGTCGCGCAGTTAAGAATGAAATGGGGGTTTGAACTGGATTAAAATGGTGCAAATTCTTTTGGATTCGTAGTCAAGAGGGTGTCTCCTGAGTAATTTTACAATTTTCAACATGCTTATCAGTTGCTTGTTTACTTCTCTTTTCTTTTCAATTTTGTTTTATTAGGCTCAATTTTGTCTTCATTTCACAGAAGTCAAATTCAGGTTGCCCTGCTTTTGACTTTTCCCTCATTACAACAAAACTTGGTGGTTATTCAAGGTAATAATTTAATAATAAAAAATCTGACAAGCCCAGTGTTAAACTATTATGCTCCAAAAGTTAAAGAAAGCAAAATCCGTGTGGTATAAAATTTAACATGTCATTTCGATGTTAAGCTTTCAAAAAGTTGTCAGATCAATACCAACATGTTCACAAAGAAATGACTCTTACACGACAAGAGTCACGACGAGATGTATCTAAATAATAATCCTCAACTACTTTACATTCAGCAGGAGTATAACTAAGGTTTACGAAAACCTCTACTATAAAATTCCTCACTCGAACAGAACAACATGATTAAGTTAGAATTCGATGAGTGGACTTCCCTGTCCAAAGTAGATTTTAAGTGGAAATAATACAGTAACCCTCGTCAAGACTTCAGGCTGAAAAATTCACGAAGGCCATTTTGCTAAAAAGCCAACGGGATGGAGGTGCACCGAGGCGATTTGACCGAGAGATGAACGCGGTCACGGGAACCAGAGTGACACACGACTAAATCACCAATAGCGGGCCTGAGACCGCGGCCAAGGGCGGGGGAATGGAGAAGAAGGAAGGCACGAAATCGAAGCAGCGCAGCAGGCTACGACACTACACCACACTACACTCTCACACTCTCGCACTCTCTCCCCGCAACCGCAGCAACAGCATCAGCCCAACCTCACATCCCAGCACGGGACCACCACCCCCACGACCAGGACCTCAACGAACAACACAGACACAGCGCGAGAGAGAGCGCAAGAGAGCCAGGAAGTCAGAGTCAGACACAGAGAGGGCCAGCCAGAGAGAAAGAGAGAGAGAGCGTTGGCAGGCAGAGCAGAGCAGAGCCGAGTGTGTGAGAACGAGAAAGAGAAAGAGAGGCGAATAACAATCACCCCCCCCCCCCCGTGCAGTCAGTCCCCATCCCCACCTTGCCCTTTCCCTTTCCCCCTTTCTTCTCACCCCGCCCGCCCATGGCTATGGCCTTCTTCTTCCTCCTCCTCCTCCATGGCCATGCCCCCCCCGCTCTCCCCGCCTCCTCCTCCTCCTCGCTTCTCCCTCGTCCCCGCCCCGTCTCTCTCTTGTTAGTTAGTTAGTGCCTGCCTCGCCCTTTCCTCACACTCCGAGTCCATCTGCTGTTTCCCTACCTCCCGATTTCCTGCCCAGGCATGCCTCGGCCGGGCGGAAGTGCTCTCGCTGATGCTTTGGCGTTCGGTACTCTCGCGCGGTGAGTTGTGGTCGCAAGCCCCGCAGATTAGAGAGTAAGAGGGTGCGGTTGTGCTGGCTCTGGGGTTGGCTCCAGCGCTGTGGGGGTTGATAGGGGCGTTGGCTATTGGAATCGACTTTCGCGGGTTGTGTGGAAGTGGGACGCAGTGCCGGACCATCTGCTAAGATCTACTCGGGGGTGCATCTAAGCCATTGGGGCTGTGTGTACGAAGGGGTGGAAAGATATATTGCGGGTGTGCGGAGGGGCACACTTGAAGTATGACATTGCTTGGGACAGGCGTAGTGAATAAAGGCACGGCAGAGAGAGAGGATTGGTGCGGAGTGGTCGGGTGTGAGTGATTTGGAAGCCAAGGGGTAGGTAGCTGAGATGGAGATGAGTGGAGCATGTGAGGAGGGAGGATTGGGAAAGCAGGTGGTGATTGTATCATCTTCGCGAGGCATGTGATGTGTGGTCGGTGGAGTTAGCTTCTACGGGCAACTGGAAATGTAAGCTTCTTCTCTGGAGTTTGTGAGTGGCATGTGTTGCTGAGTACAAACTACTGCCCATAGAGACCAGTGTTGTTGTCCAGAGGAAGTCACAGCGTACTGGATATAGACACTTCGTTGGCGACTGCTAAAGTGCAGTGTTGCTTGGAGTAGGTGGCAACATGTAAAGAGAATGTATATGAGAATTGTGATTTGAAGTCGTATATTTTGCTGGCCATTTTTCTGCGATATACCTCCCTCCTGCTTATTTATACGATATTGTAAGTAAGCCACTCCCATCACATCATTGGGTGGCTGATTACTGACTCGCCGATGCCATGGTATGGTGTTCAAACGGTTGTGGTTGGAACACAGCTTCTCGTATGAGTAGTTTGTGAGTTGATGGCGTCGATATAATTTAGTCTTGAGATCGTGTAAGGCAGAAGATAGGTAGGCTTGAAACGGAAATTTCCAAGCTTTTCTATTCAGCGCATAATTTGTACTTGGTTGCTTATGCACTGAAGACGCAATCCAACCTCAAATAATTATAGAATGTATCAACCGTCCAGTTGTTTTATGCTCCTTTCTTTCTTTCTTCCTCTTCTATTTTTGGTTTTGATATTTTTTGTTGCGTGCTCGCGCGCGCGCATGTTACTGTACGGTTATTCAAATTTCTTATCATCAACTCGCGAGGATTTGCTTCCTCATTTGTCATGTAATGACATGTGATGTGTCGTTATTAATTGGACTGTGGCAGTAATTGATCAGCGAGTAGTGTTGCCCAGTGTCAACGCGCTTTTCAACTGAACACGGATACCAGTACCTGTAGCTAAAGGATGCTGCTCAACAAACAGAGATTATAGAACTGGAAGTAGGAAATTGATTTAGTCACCTTATTCGAGGGTATTTTGACCCTTCCATGGCATCTGCAACTGGTGGAATTATTGGTAGCACGAACATGATCGGAGGGGGGGCTGCCCCAACCAAACCAGGCTCTAGTGGCGTGGAATCGTTACCCAAAGAAATGCACGGCATGAAGCTCAGAGATGACAAGGTTGATCACAGTGATGATAAGGTCTGCGTTGCTGAAACTGCAACTGGTTTTGTTCGTTCAAGTTTCGTTGTAGGCCTTCTGATGATGGACAAACTCTGGTTTTGAAGCAGCCTCATCTTCCTTCTAGATAAAGATTATTGTCAGTTTTGTTAATCTCTGCTCTGATTGAACTTGGCTAAGTTTTGGTAACGTGTTAACAGTCATAATCATGATTCCCTTCTGAGGCGTGCAGGAAATTGAAGCGTCAGTAGTAGATGGGAATGGCACCGAGACGGGTCACATCATTGCTACCACTATTGGGGGGAAAAATGGGCAACCCAAGCAGGTGCGGTGATGGCGTCTTCCTGATGAAATAATGACTGAAGCAACTTGGCATGACATTGCTTACCCTCTCCACCTTGCAGGCCGCCCAAAGGAACACATCATTGATAACATTATAGCTTCTAATGGCTGTTTGGTATTCTTTTTGTCAATTGAAAGTTCATGAACAGTAGCAATGGTGTATGAACATCAACGTCGTACACAATCTCTATACCACCATCAATCTAAAATACTACTATCATGACGTTTATTTCTGTACTATAGCAAACGGAGGGAGAGTGGACTAATAGTTTTGTCACAATTTGCATGGATGGTCCAGACTATCAGCTATTCAGCAGAACGTGTTGTTGGAACCGGGTCTTTTGGGATTGTCTTCCAGGTAATTGTCAAGTTTGGTCTCCTTTGGCAACTATTTCAAGTATTGTCTAGCACTTTCATGTTACGTATGTGTGCTACATTGAGCGAAATCTGTTGCTGTTCGCAAATAATGAGATCTGAGATGCATATTACCGCGCTTGCTTCCCTGCTTACGTTGCGGAGGAAAGTCCAAATGGTTATATGTTTACCCTAACCTCATGCTGGTAGAGGGATAGCTGTGTCTGACTTGCGTGTTAATGTGTGTTGCCAGGCAAAATGCATCGAAACTGGGGAGACGGTGGCTATAAAGAAAGTGCTGCAGGACAAAAGATACAAGAATCGAGAGCTGCAGATCATGCGACTGTTGGACCACCCGAATATTGTAGCTTTGAAGCATTGCTTCTTCTCGACGACGGATAAAGACGAATTGTACTTAAACCTGGTGCTGGAGTATGTACCCGAGACGGTGTATCGTATTGCAAAGCACTACAATCGCATGAATCAGCGAATGCCCCTTGTTTACGTGAAACTGTACACGTATCAGATATGCCGATCACTGGCATATATCCACAATGGCATCGGTGTCTGCCACCGCGACATCAAGCCCCAGAACCTGCTGGTACGTGTGTCCGACGAATCTTGTCATGTGTTCAAGTATCTTGAAAACACGATGCTGACTGTTTAAGCACTCGTATTTGTTGCTCGGCATGGGTGGAAGCTGGTTACTGAGATGTTTGGTATGAGTCACGGGAAAGTACAGGAGTTGCCGTGGTGTCGTAACAAACTTGTGTTTGCATGGCACAGGTGAATCCTCATACGCACCAGCTGAAACTGTGTGATTTTGGAAGTGCGAAAGTGCTGGTGAGTATCTACTGGATTAGTGAGTATTTTCGAGTTGCGCAGTCGCATTACAGCGTCGAAGCAATTTGTGTTTCGGAAATGCGTGCGTTGCGGTGACAGGCTGTAAAGCTGACGAGTTGTTCGAGAAGACTTCGTTTCTGGTATGCGGATGTCTCAGTAAGCGGGTGCGTGTGAATAGTGATGTAACCGAGACGGGCTTGTTGTGCAGGTGAAAGGGGAGCCCAATATCTCGTACATTTGTTCGCGGTACTACCGTGCTCCGGAGCTTATTTTTGGAGCGACGGAGTACACGACTGCCATAGATATATGGTCGATGGGTTGCGTGATGGCAGAGCTTCTACTAGGACAGGTACTCGGTCGCCGATGGGCTCTCTTCCACTTCGAAGAGTTGTTTCAAGTGACGCGGGGGGTCGTTGACTGGGGCTGTTGATTGTTTTGTAGCAAGCTAATGGCGGTTTCTGACGATATGTTGCTGTGGCGCAAGTGTAGAGGTTTGAAGTTGAGGTGAGGGAGCTTTATGTGTAATCTGGGTTTTGACGACGCTTTTGATGGGATTGCAGCCTTTGTTTCCTGGAGAGAGTGGAGTGGATCAATTGGTGGAAATCATCAAGGTGGGACACACGTGGTACACGTTGTTTGTGTGGAAGGGTCGCCTTCTGGGTTGGCGGTTTGGTTTGTAGCTGTGGTATCTTGTTCGTGTTGGATGTGAGTATGGCGTTGACCAGACGTTTCCGTGTGGCAGGTTTTGGGGACACCGACTCGTGAGGAGATCAAGTGCATGAATCCGAACTACACAGAGTTCAAGTTTCCACAAATCAAGGCGCACCCGTGGCACAAAGTATGTTTTTTGTGCGAATGCTATGATGTCATCCTGGGTGTTGCGGTTGTAGTGCGGTAGTGGATGTGGGTCAGCCTTTCTCGTGTAGCGGCATTGTTAGTTGCGTGCGTCGTGGTTTGTTGGATGTTGGGTTTTGACGACGGTAACCGGCGTTTGGTATGGCCGATGTGGGAATTGCAGGTTTTCCACAAACGCATGCCACCTGAAGCAGTTGACTTGGTGTCAAGGCTCCTTCAGTACTCTCCAAATCTGCGGTGCAACGCTGTGAGTAGCGTCATATTCTGTGTTGTTGGTACGGGTGTGATGTTGAGCTGTGTGGGTCTGCGTTGAGTCGTGGCGTTCTGCGAGGTGCCAACGAGGCATTGCGACAAGGTGTGAAGTAGTATGAAGGAAATACTGTGGACGTGAAATATGGCGATGGTGAGTCGGGAATGATTGACATGATGAATGGGTGGGTACTGTTTGCAGCTGGAAGCGTGTGTGCACCCGTTCTTTGATGAGCTAAGGGATCCTAACTGCCGGCTTCCGAATGGGCGGCCACTGCCCTCTCTGTTCAACTTCAAAACCCAAGGTGAGACATTGTGGCGGTGCATAGTCGTGTCGCCATCCTGAAGATGACAGTTGAGTTATTTATTGTCAGGGAGTGGTTGGGATCTGGTGTCCAGTGTTTTGGATTGTACATTTTCATGATGCAAAGGAAGGATGAGAAGGTGGTGGAAAATGTAACGCGTTTGGATGTGGTGGTGGAGCAGAGTTGAAGGGTGCAACTCCTGATATTCTGCAGCGTTTGATACCCGAGCACGCGAGGAAGCAGAATCCGATGCTGGCGCTGTGAGGGGTGCCTGGGAAGAGAACGGAAGAGTCCACTGCGTGAGAGATTTTCCTCTGTTTGGAGGAGTGGTCCGCTCTGTGGAGGGCTTCATAGGCACTCTGTATCATTGCTTAAACACGTTAAGTCACCCAGTGTGTTTTGAACCCCAGGTTTTTCTCTGTCGTTGGAGGGAACTCAATAGATTTTTAGCATGCCACTTTCAGGAATGGCAACCTTCTGGTAGCGAAGGCTTTGCTGATATGAGGCTTGTGATTCTCTGGGCTATTAATGGGTTTCATGGACTCGGAGGAGTAGATGTTTGGAGGAGTTAGCGTTCTCCAACATAGGCGGGTGATGTGCTTTTGCGGTCTCTTCCTGCATACAAATCTACGAGATTCCTATAGCTACGTGCATCTTCACTAGTTTGGGCATGCACTGAATTGCCGGCCACTTGAAATGGTCAAAGAGCGGAGATAGTAACTTCGGGAGCCTCAGTTGGTCTTGTGACATATAGGGGCCTTCCGAGTGCTTGAAAGTCGATTTAACAATGAAAAAAACCATAAAAACAAAAAAAATGTAACGGAATCCAAGTGTGGGGTAGAATCACATTGTAATTTTCCTAGGAGAGATCAAAGCGTGTACTGTTCATCCAATTTTCATTCCTCATGATTCCAAATCCTCTTATCGTTTGCTAGGGCGTCTCTGCTCACAAATGCTGGAGCTGTTCTTTATTGTCCATTTTAATGGATAGCCTCAGCCTGTTCTTGTGGGTCGTTTCAATCAAATTGACAGCCCAGCAAACGTTTGGAGACTAGCGTCTGAAATTTCTGCTTTTGATCATCAACATAGGTCAGCAGTGCCCATAGACTGCGGTTAGTTTGGTTGGTGCTTGGTGGGTCAGTAGTCATTTCTTGGAGCCTCATCCTCATCAGGGCAGACCTACTCTCTGTGTTGTAAAGCTCTACCCTCCACAGTGCAGCACAGGACATCGTTGCTTTCAACGAATTACCGCAGTGTGTAGTCCCTGCGTATTTTTGTGCGCTATACATGAATTCCATTCACCGAATGGCTCCGAAATATTCTGACCGAAGTAAGTGCTTTTCATGAGGTCATCGCGGACCTCACCAGTATGGTTCTCCACAGACAACGCAAGCTCTCCAGCTACACATGTTACTCGTGCCTATTTGAAAACAGTCATTGAATTCTTGAAAAGTAGTAGTCCTTCATGTTCACTACGTCCTGAAGCTTGACCAATACTTTTAAGTCCATGTACGTGACACGATCATTGTGAAGTAGTTAGAGGAATGCACTTTAGTAGTCATCGCAATTAAAGTTCTGACTCCCCTCTCACGTACAAGAGCAAAGAGCCTGAGGTTTTGATGCTCTTCCACTCAAGGGGCGTGCTCAAGTGAGTTTTTATGTGATGGTCACTGAGCTTTACTCTAATCCCCCACAACGACTTACCCCTCAAATCTTACCACTGATCAGCAACTAACCCAACTAACAGTAATCGTGTGTTCGACTAGCATGCAATATTCATAGCTGTCCAATTCGCCAGCTCAAGAAATTCTAGTATGTCAGGAGCCACCTCTCAACAACCACTTGTGGTGATGTGATTGATAATCAGCCCTCTTGAGGATGAGAACCTACTCAACAATTACAGAACGACTTTCAACTGTTAACGTTGCATCACGAAACTTAAGGGAGAGAGAGAGAGAGAGAGAGAGAGAGAGAGATATGGCTTTCGATTCGGCAGCTGGATAACATCGTCGTAAAACCCAAGTGGAGGAGGTCCGAAGCTTTCCCTTTCATGGATCGAACAAATCCTTGCGCCTTGCGGAAGGATCGGATACAACGCACCCTGGATCACGCCGATCTCTCTCTCTCTCTCTCTCTCTCTCACCCCGAAACCGCCAGGCCTGGTGAGCCCTCCTCCCGCCTGGCACCATTCTCTGACCCTGCCTTCAACTCAACCGCTGCAGTATCGATGAAGTGCCGACCACGCGTTTGAAGGGACTGGGAGCTAGCTCATGCGCAGAGTTTCAGAGCTGGTGGGGTTGTGGGCATGGTGGGGTAGGCCATCCCTGTTGCCAGAAACTCCACTGATTCCAGGACTTTGTTGCGAAACTTGTCAGACTGCAGCCCACAAGCTCTCACACGAGTCCCAGTCGTGCAGTTGGTGGTGGTGGAGGTGTGTACTCGCGCTCATTCCTTTGCAGGTAGGTCGCAGCCACTCTCACCATCACCACGATGTTGAACCCTCACCGGTAAGGACACCCAGAAACAGAAAAAACGCCATGCCTTGCTTCCACAGTCCGTCTTGTCGGTTGAGTTCCATCGACCCACCCCGTTCGCCATATTTAGGGTTTAGGGTTTAGGACTTCACCATCACCGAATTCTCAATCCACAACACAAGTGCATTAAAAATCCTAAAAGATTTTTTATAAATTGTTTACATACCCACCCACAAACACATATACATACATACATACATACATACGTTTACAGGTGTATGTGTATATTTATATTACTAAAGGACCCAGTAGTTTGTGGGACAAGCAACACCCTCTAATTGATATGTGGATGATGTTCGTTAATATGGATGAATTAAACTAGACGAAAGGTATGCAATTGTAGATGTATTACTCCATCCAGATCGATGCCAAAAATGACGGGGGCTGTGCCTATTTCAGACTTTGCTAATAGGGAAACTACTATAATAGGCCATCCGCGGCTTAACCCACTCACGCTACCGACCCCCTTTGGTCCACGTGTAAGCCACCTCAGTCAAAATAGTTTGCTCACCCCTGGATATGTATCCCACGTGGCAAACACGGTCCCATTTCTTGATCCTCCATCATTCCCGTTCACACGGCAGCGAATTGACGTCCCAAACGAGATTCTTCTATAAGAAAAGGACCCCGAATGAGCCCTGGAGTTTCGCTCTGAGCCTGCAAACCTGGCTTCCTCGTCGCGGACCTGCTTTCGAAGCTTTTCGACGTGATCCGCTTGCGTTTTTTTTTGTAATTTTTTTTAATAGATTTTGGGGGTGTGTGAATGCGATATTGCGAAGCTGGGGGATCGAATTACGATAACAGGGGTTGAGTGAGGAAGGCAGGACAGGAACGCATGAAGCCTTGTGCGATGGCGCGTGCGGTTTCGTTCGTGTTTCTGGCGCTCGGGGTGGTGGTGATGGTTGCCGCGGATTCGGTCATCGATGAGCTGGAGAAGAACGGCCTGCCTGTGGGGCTGCTCCCGAGCTCCGTTCAGAGTTACTCGATTGGGGCGAAGGGCGATTTCTCGGTGTCACTGGAGGCGCCTTGCTATGCCAAGATTGAAGACCAGGTACTTGGGGATGATGATTTTATTGCAGTTGGGTTGGGATGGGATGGGATGGTTTCGATGGTTGTAATGGTGGTGATGGAGGTTTAGTGATTGTTGGGTTATCTTGAGGCATTCTGTTGTTTGGGAAGTACATGGTGGACCTTTTGGGTTGATGTTGGTGAGGCTGTGGGTGTTGGATTTGGGATGGATTGTTGTTGTTGTTGTTGTTGTTGTTTTTGTTGCTTTTTTATATTATTACTTTCTTGTTTGTTTGTTTGTGGTATTTTGAGAGATTGGGATTGATTGGTTGATTGTCTAGGACAGTTATTTTCTCCTCGAGTTTTTTTGACTGCGAGAGTGTCCACATTGTCTGACGTGAGTGGATTTAATCTCCTCCCTCGTCTTGGGAAGTCGCTCGATCTCTATTATATATGTGTCTTTGGAAGCCCCCTATCTGTTGAAGATTGATTTGCGGTGAATCTTATGTTTTGTTGGATTTCGGTTCCGTGCTTTTTTTCTCTCTTTTTTTTTTTTTTTTTTTTTTTTTTTTTTTTTTGTTTTTTCTTCTTTTTCTTTCATAATAATTAATTGATCATGTGATTAGTCGATTAAGAATTTACCCATTTCTTATCTGTCTTCGCGAGGCTGCCTTTGAAGAGATTCATTTACCTGCTAACCAGGATTAGAGGGAGAATTTAGAAGTGTAGTTCATCGAATACTTGAAATCCTTCAGAGATGGTAGGGCATCTGGTTCGCGGTACTTTCGACTGTACAATCATGTATCAGAATTTTGTCCCTGCTGGTCAGAGTCAGTCCTGCAATGCCGCATTAAAAGGCTGTGGGTAAGGGTGGGCGAAACTGTCGTCAGGTTCGTTTGAAGTATTAGTCCTCTAGGATGCTTTAATATGCTGTCCTTACATTGACGATCATATATGTTGCAACCTAATGTCTTCGTTCATGATCTGCTAGCACTTGAACCATAATTTGGCCAGATAATTGTCCAGTTTATTTTGGACTCTCATGATTAGATTTCGCAGAGGTAGCAGTTGATGCCACTTTTCATCCTTTAGTATCGTCGCTTTGGTACGTGGACGACGTTGAGGATTGGTCATGCTCCTAATGAATGATTCTATGTCCTCGGTTCCGCCCCTGCACTCCTAAACAGTCCAGGTTGTACATAGTAGAGCTCTTAGAGCTGATTCCTAGTCACTCTTCAGCTTATTAGTAGGCACACAGTGACTCTGCGATATTAATCTTAGACAAAGTAATTTCTCATTTCGAGCTGAAGCAATCAAGCATCTGAATGTGTGGCGGATGCACATTATTCATTTGCTCGAGCAAGAACTCCTGGACAAGCAAATGTGTCGGGAACCTGTAACGAATATGGCTACGTAACTAAAATTTTCTCAACTCTTCTTCAGGCACTTTGCTTTCGATTATCTGGAAATTCGGATACCTGCCTTTACGTTTGTGAGTTTGTCTTCACAAACTTAATTGATACTAACACGGATTTGTGTGATGGTTCTCTTGTTCAATTAATCCTCAGCCGGCATATTACAGCAAGCATATCACGGGAAAGCTTAAGTATGGCTCCATCAGCAACCTGAGCGGAATCCAGACAAAGCAGCTGTTCGTTTGGTTGCCAGTGACAGGAATCTATGTGGATATTCCAGCCACACCCTACATCTACTTCGAGGTCGGTGTGTTGACAAAGCGACTTTCGATTGCCATATTCGAGACACCTCCAAGGTGCTCCTCCCATGGCGTTGATACCGGTATCCACGTCCCCAATTTGGTAAGTTCTTCCCGACCTGAAACCACAATCAACATTCTGGTGTAGGTTTTGAGGCGACCTCTATTTCTTTCACTTGATCCTGAAATTGCGTTTGCACAGTATATGTGCATAAATTTTCATAACATAGGACCCGAAATCTAGACATTTAGATAGTCCCACTTCACAATGTTGATGAACTTTTCAACCGGGTTTGGGCGGTTTTAAGTAGTCTTGTTAATATTGTTCGCATGGGTCTGGTTCAACGTTGTGACGCTAGTAGATCATCTTTTTAGATGTTTCGATGTCTACTTATTTTAGGATCTGATGGCTTAAGCTTGCTTTTCTTTTTCACAGTTTGTTAAGTAATTGGAGATCAGGTCATGTCCAAAAATTATAGGAGACATATCTGCCTCTCTGTCTCTGTGCGTGCCTCTCTTTCGTTTTCGATAATAACTGCGGGTATTCCAGTTATCAAGTTCATTATGTCAATTGTTTGAGTTTAGTATTTGACTGTTAAGCAGGCTGAATTTATGACTTCTCGACCAAGGAAGGCGATACAGTGACACACCTGTGACACAAGCTACCGAATCCACGTGTTCAGAGAGATCTGCGATAGTTGATAGTTGTTTTGCATGTAACTTATTGACTTCCTTAAGTGCGAGAGTGTGTTTGTTGCTTCTTAAGGAAAGCACGGAATGTAAATTTCAATATAAATACTTTATTCCTACAAAGGGCTGTTAATGCAGTTCACCCGTATGCCCACTACGACAGGTCAGGCTCTGGAGTCAATCCTTTTGTGTATTTGTATGGATAATGGTCAATACATGGGATCTACTTTGACAAGTTTGATTTAAAATTAGTGCCGCAACGGTTACGCTACTTGCCAACCGAAACTCTTTCTAGTGTGGAAGTTTACACAGTGGGTTAGCGTTGATCATTTTTTTGAGCAAAGGCTATAAAACAGAATCAGGTCGTGTCAGAGTTTATCTACTTAATCAGTTGCTCTTCTCCTGTGCAATTGTGATTAGGATTGATGCTCACTCCAGGATTATAATCCAGCATAGCAGCATCGTTCTCACACTTTTAACAACCATCTGAATTATCTGAAAGCGGTTGCCTGAAACCGTGATAGATGCTTCCCATAGTACTTAGACCGATTTTTATTTTAGATATTTCCTTAATGTTATCTTCTTAGGTTATTGAGGCGAGGATTATTTCGAACACCCAATTGGATCGTTTACACGGGGATTTTTCTTGTAACACTCGTCCCTCTAGAACCTTCGCAGTTCTAACCACATAATTTTGCATGATATCTTCTGTTTGCTTGTTTGTTTGTTGGTTTGTCTTATTTTTTCTTCCTTTTTGAGTAAAACACCAGTCCATGCCATACGATTGTGACAATTGTACGACAGTTTTCTTTATTTATATTATTGTTTATATTATTTTTTATATTATTATTTTTTATCCAGCATCAAGATAGTACTGCTAATGTGAACTGCTTTATGATGAGCTGTCAATGAAATCCTACACAATTATTTGATAAGTGTCCTATGAAAGGATTTGACCATTGATCCCGAGTGTCTTGTACTATTTGCTTCAACAACCAGTGGTGCAAATGGTGTTCAGTTTTACGTCAGAAAAGTAATAATGCTTTCTTAGCTGGAAGCTCACAGCATGTTATTCTACCAGTTTTGATATTTTGCCAACACATGGTGAGGACACAGCTCGACGTAGCTTAGCTAATGAATCACTAACAGAGAAATGCGTACCCATCTGTGTATTTATTAGCACTGGTGAATTTGAGACCATTTTATGTGATCGAATAAGTGAGATCTTTTAACAACTTTTAACAGTTGCACACTTCTGAACCTCTCTGTATGTGGTGGATCATCTCGCAACGTATTCAACTTATTGCAAACAATCACACTTTCAAAATGTGTGTACAGATTATTCGCAAACCAAGCAATATCATCTTCTGGGAAGATAAAGAATCATTCAAACTATGTCATAGGGATCCGACGCAAGCATTCAGTGTTTCCATGCTTGAAACATTCAAAGTAATTCCTCTTATCATGAATTTATCCACTGATGAAGCAATTTGACGACGTGATCATCAATGGTTGCAACAAAAACAGCAATACATGAAGAGGGATTGTAGCTTCAGCTACAAATGTGTAATCTGGAATAATTATGTGGAAGTTTTCTTTGTATAAAACCCAGAAATAAATATCATGCGGATGATCAGATTGAATTCTTGTGGAAAAACATTGTTTGAACAAAAAAGAAAAAAATCCACTCAGTATTTGATAACTGTTGTTGTTTGAAGTCTTTTGACATGATGCACAAATAACAAATTGTAAAATGATTAGAGTTTATGACAGATATAAATTTATTCAATGCAATACCCAATTTCTGCAACATACATTTTAAAACATTATGTCATGTTCTCTTCAAAATTTTAGAGTTTCACTTTGAATATTATTATCTTTAACAAATCATTTGGGTTATTTTTTACCTAAATAATATTGCAATACAAACTTATGTGGGAGGTGCAAGTGGTTCTCTTTATGTTTTATTTATTTACTTATTTACTTTTTTAATATTTTGGAAAGTGAAGTTTGGAACATAGAACAAAACAAATTCTTAATTTTTAAAAAGTTTGTGTAAATCTAGTTTATCTCTCTCTCATTTGGTCTTTTTGACTAGATATTACATATCAAGATTTAAAATAAGAATACAATACAAGATATACATTTATAGAGGAGTTTTTGTGCTGTTTAATGTAACTACGATGTTAGCAATGTTAGATTTTTAAGTTAAGGGGTCTTTATATCTAAAAGCCTATTCTAAAAGTCCATGATACAAAAGCCTTACAAAGATTTTCTATTTGGTGTAAGAAAATTTTATTTGAAATCTTTGACTTTGAAGGATACTTTAAAGTGAGATGAGGCCATGAAATAGAAAAACTTATTTTTTAGTATATAAAAAATATAACAATTCACTTCTTAATTTTAGTACTATAAATTTAAAAATTTATAATAATTATTTTAGCAATTTTAACAAAACTTATTGAGTTTTTGTAAGAACCATATCTTTGAGGTGGATCTACTTCAAATTCTCAATGACAACACCACTTATGCCATGTATGAAGAAGATGCATTCTATCTTATTTTTCCCTCTTATGGCTATTTAGAAGATATTTTGAAGTATGACCACATGAGACTTTTAAATTTCAATCAATCTCAAGCTTCAAAAAATTATGAAATAATTATATTATATTATAGTATAAAATATAAAATTAAATCCTTATGATTTATTTTATTTTATCTTATTTTTATTTTTTAATAAGTGGATTGAATCAAAATATTACACACATACACATATATGTTTTTCTTTATTTTTACAATATCATTAGACTTTGATAATTTTATTTTTATTAAAACTTCCTCCAAATGTCACTTTCAATGTATTACAACTATTTAACAACTTTTTAAGTATAAAATGCATGCCCATATCATAAAAAATATACATTTGAATTCCTTTATAAAATTTTCTCATCCAAAATATTTTTATGAGTGAGAATAGATTATGTTAAATTCATATAAAATAAAGTTCTAAAATTTAATCATGTATACATTTTTTCATTTTTTTTTTTTATCTTTCCATATATTTATGGTGTATGTAATATTTATGTAAAAAATTAATCATTTAAAGTTTTAAATATAGTAGAATTACAGTAATTAAAAGAATTATATAAATTCTTGAAAAAAATGCTAAAATTAACAAAATATAATATAATATAATATTACATACTCTATTGATGTCTTAACATATACTATAATAATACTCAAAGACATTTTAATACTATATGTGTATGTATGTAAGCTTCTACCAATAGCCTTTTGCAATTTTTTTGTATTGATATTCAAATACTATTATAGCATTCTTTGCATAATTTGATAACAAATCAAATATTTTTTTAGTATAACTATTTGATTTTTTATCCACTGAGTGCTTTTTTTTGAACGTTGAAATAATAGCAATAATTTGTGGAGATATAACATGGTCTTTAAATTTTTTAAATCTAAAATAATAAAATAAATCTAAGCTTAATTTGGTATGACCAAGGCTGCCCTTAGATGAAAAAAAATTTCATACGTAATTAGGGGTAGTGGTTACTTTAATAAAATATATATATATATATATATATATATATATATAGATTCTTTTATTTATTCTTAATTTTTTTCAGAATTTTAATAAAAATTATGCATGTTAAGTGAAAGAATTCACCTTTGGAAGAAGAGATGATATGATTCCATTGGAGGTGATAGAGACTAAGCGTTTGATGTCCAAAATGTGATTCCAATCGAATCGTTCAAGCCAACGATATGCACCCATTTTAGAAGCATACACTCGATGCCAGAATCACGATTTTGGAGTTGCTGAAAAACATTTGCTCGCACTGATCACGTTTTAACTCCTGACTGCAGTGTCACGGACCAATTGTTTTCTATACTCAAGACCATAGAGAGCTTCGGATAATGTGTGTTTTCACACACTACCACTTCATGGCCTTGTGGATCATGAGTTTTAACCGCTTTGGGGTCTCCATTCGTGAAGGTTGCCTTCACATCGACGTGAAAAAGTGAGAAATATGAAAGTGCCACTGCAGCAACGATGGGTTGATAGGTGCATCCTGATCACCGTGGGAGGGAAAGGTTCTCAAGGTTACTATTCTTAGGCTATCGGCACTGCACAGGGATTGCTATTTCCTTGAGAAGCATTTAACTTTTTCTTCACTTCGAACATCTGTTAGATGGAATGAGCATTCTTCTCTGGATAGTTGTTTATCTTACATTGCTGGGGCGCATAACGGATTTTGAGAAGCTTGTTTCTAAGACTTGGGCACTATACGTAGTGACACTAGAATCGCCTCATAGTCCTGGAACCACCGAGGTTGTTCCCTGGACTGGGATGGACGATTCATGGTTGTAGATGAAAGCTGCGATACAATTACGACCAAAGCGGAAACCGTCTCGGTTAGTAGTGTTGAGCAATTGAATGGAAAAGTTTGGTCCCACAGTCACGACGTTGGATTCTATACGGGATCAGATGGTAAGCTGGCACTCCGCAACATGGATTCATTGCAGTTGACCCGTTCATTAGGGCGATCTGTAAGAGTGCGGAGGATAATGGTACTAATCCTTCATAAATGGGCTTCGGTTCAGCAGGTGGGACATCTAGCTAAAGGCTTCGATGTTTTCAGGTCCCCATGTTCAAGAACCAGTGAATTGGGATGCTCGGTTCAAGTCTGTGGCGCCTGCCTCACACTGGTCATAGTTTGAGAGGATCGTTGATAATCATACGCATATTCCTTTCCTAGTCAAATATAGTTCTACTTTTACGTCTAGAAATTTCACTCTGCAGAGTTTTGTAGGAACTTTAGTCTAGGTTTAAGTCAATCTTTTGGATTATCCTTAATATTATTGTTATTAATGTGGAAGACATTAATTTTCTCTGAATGGAAGAAGACTCGATTTAAAGAAAAAAAACTCGTCTTCAAGGTTTAGGAAATATTTAAACCGTCGGTAGGGATCAACGAGCAAAGCACCATACAATCTGCATGAAAAGACTCCAAAATTTTAGTGTCTCTGCCAGTGCTAGGGGGGGTAAAATTCTCTCTGCATACTTCTTTTCGTGCACACAACTTTATAAAATATGCAAGCTCAATGAGAGTGATTCCTTCGGTGTCTTTTCCTGTACTCAAGATGCTTGTCATAGGTGGCTCACATGACCAAATCGACTATGCCAGACTTGGTTACTAGTTTGTGTTAAATATCAAGGACAGGGGAATATTTCTAAGCAGCAATTTAGGTATAAAGGGAGACGTTAAAATTCAAAGGTGGGTTGTCCATGAGCCCCACATCGAGGAAATCCTATTTGCATCCAAGGTTGCAACCACAATGATTTTTGGTGCTATGGTTCTGGTTATGATTAGGCATTTTGAGAAGGAGAATTCAGGATAACGTAAAGTGACATTAATGTGGTCTACCAAAACTAGTTTTTTATTTTCCCCCTAACGTGCTAATCATTCAAAATTACATTCCCCATTTGGAAGAGGCAAGTAAACTGTCCCTTTTCCCAGAATCGGAAGGGGTTGGCCGTTTGCTATCTGAACAATAGCACTCTCTGCACATGTGGAGATGCTGGGTACCTACTAGCCTCTTCAGTGAGTCGTGGTGGATTCAGTATCTATCTTCAGATGAACTTCGATCGAAGGTCATCAATAGATCTAGTACCCGAGAGGCAACTAGCTTGAATTGCTAGATACCGAACAAAAAGAAATATAATGAAGCATTAAAGTATTGTTATCAGTCTCTGGAACCATGATGAACACTCAAACTTCAGAAACTTGCTAATCTAAAATGACGAAAGTGCATACACACATACACACACATACATACATACATACATACATACATACATCCATATTTTTTCTTCATCGGGGATCTGGATCAGCATCCAGAGAGACGATAAGCGGAAGGCGGCAGCGTCACAAAGTACCCAAATGTAAAGTTCAATGCTATTGCATCATTGTGTTAAAATCATTGCAGATTAACCCGCACGACTTACCCTGGAATCTCAGCGGTTCTGAAGTTCTTTTGGCATTGTATGCATTGAATTGTGGTGTCAGCAACTTCTGAATCTTCCGAGACATCTGGACTTCCGCTTATCGTCCTTATAACGAAGTTCCCCGAATTGATCCAGATGCATGCTTTTAATTACTCATCAAAAGTTCAGCCAAATAACTTGGTTCATAACAATCTGCAGCAAGGGTACTTGGTTTGATTTTTTTAATCCACTGTGATCAGTCGTTTTTAGATGCAAACACTTCGCCCTGACAGATTATCGTCTTGATCTTTCAGTTTAATATCCATAGTTTCAGTTTAGAGTTCATATTACTGAGTTACGTTCCAGGGTAGGAACCAGCCTTCGTTGCAATGAAAGTGTCTAACATTGTCAGCATACATATAGAAGCCACGCCGAGCTTCTGCTTTTGTGAGCAGAGTTGGAGTTTACCAACTTCGAGTTTTTGTGGCCCGAGAGGAATGCTCCTCCTGACAATCCTGGCAGCTTTGTGACACATTTATGTGTCGAGGTTTGGGTCGGGTTCGATTCAGGGTCATAAGGAGATACATGTGAAGTCATAATATACGTCACATTCAAATGGTACCAGCTGAAACCTTTGCAATGAATCATGATATTTTTCGATTTTGAACTTTTTCAACCAGTTGCTGGTGCTCTTATTCCAGTCGCTTTCATGGTAAAAAAATTGATTTACCCACAGTCTTTGCTGCCACCTTCAAAGAGCACGGATTGTCCGTCGACTTAATTCTCCTATTCTCTGGGCATTAAGTAGATCAAAATTCTCTTAATCTGTTTCGCGCGCTACCAACGGACAGCATAAGATTATGCTTATTACATGTACTGACAACTGTAATTTCTCATATCTACGAGCTGTTAGAACTTCGGAGCCTACCCTATGCAGAAGTTCCAGCTGCCATAGATGGATATGGCGTTACTTATCTGGGTCGGCAAGTCGCCGACTATTATGTGGTTATTTCGATTGAAAATAGAATTCAGAGGAGCTCTATTTTGTTTTCCAATTCAAGGATGTGCTGGACCCCTGAGAGTCGCCTCAGCCTGGTTGAACAAATCATCCGCCAGAATGTTATACGCATGCTCGGTAGGATGGAAACTATCCCACCACAGATATGAATTAGCATCTTCGCAAGTGCCTATCGAGGCTTGGTTGCACGCAATTGCCGTCTCGATCACACCAGTGCCGCAGCATCCGGTTCTGACCTCAGTAATTCCTGCGCAGATGAAATGAGCTGATAATATCAACTGCAAATAGTTGCCCATGAAATCGATTCGTGTACAAGCAGTGATTTGTATTCTAACCGATTTGACCGAACAGAGCTGTCCAGCAAAGCAATGGCGGGTCAAGCTTGTTCCATACCATATGCGCTCGAGTTTGTCCTTATCGCGTAGAGCGTTGTGTAGATGTCGATGTATATGAGACGGCCTCCACTGAACTTCGGCTTCAATTCATTGTTTATAACATTTTTTAACTGGTCATTGAATTTACGCGAAACGGCGTTGTAGTCCTCGACGCAACCTTGGTTCCCTTTGCCGTGGAGGGTGATCTGCGAGGGCAGGCACCCCAAAGGCGGTAGACCCAGCACCGCAATGTTGCGGCCACCCAAATCGTAGAGCTCCTAGTTATTGATTCATCGGATCCATTCAGTCATACATTCACAAAACACAGTTAGTCTATCTCTCCGAATGATATCCGCACAAAACAGTTCATGAAATCAACTGCAGACTTTACCATATAGTGGTGAGAGGCTGTACCTGAATGTAACCACGGGCAAGGCCGATTAGAAAAGTGATGTACTCATCTGTGTTGTATTTCTTCATCAGAACCGGGTTCAAGTAGTAATTGTTAACCCAGTCATTGGCACCTGTGCTGAAGATGTACAGCGAGGTGCTAATGATAAAGTTCCCCTTCTCCGGACCAACCAACGACAGCACCTCGGCCTTCCAGTTCTTGTACCACACGAACTGATCCGTCAACCCTTTCACATTCTGCACAACTCCATCACCAGTGTTTATAATCACCGACCTCCACACGAGGCTATCTGCTATCACCACAATCCCTCACATCGACCTTCTGTCACCCAATTGCAATTTCCAAAATGTAAGTGTGCATTGATCAGAAGAGAACAACCAGTCATCAAGAGACTGGTATGAGGCGTAGACTTACGAAGTTTCGTGCCGTGCCATCGTACCAGCCGGATGCCGAGGATGCGAAGTTGATGCCAGTGAGAATGGCGGGGCCGTGAGCTTCCGGCGACAAGTATGGTAGCCCGTATGGGTAGCCGATTATCTCGGCTTCAGGGTCGCACCCATACCAGACAAGTTTCAATCAGTATAGTGTTCCAACACTTCACAAAGTTCCTACTCCTAATAATTCAAACGACCCGGCCATTTTTTATCAGATGGAAGTGACTTACTGATCCTATCACTGGTTATCTTCCCATCGCAGAACCGGCCAGTGGATTTGCCCCCTTGAAACGACCTGCCATACGGCTTGAAGTTGCTCTTCACCACGGTGACTAGATGGTTGTTGTTGCCGACATCCACTGTGGAGTCTCCGAAGATCACCACCCCCGCTGTATACTGCCGGTAATTATCTGGTATCTTTGTGTTGTTAAAGAATCCAGCTCTCCTCGTTCCCAGAACTGCGACTGAGCTCAGAAGCACCAAAAAGCTGCGTATCATCAAGGCAGCTCTTGATGATAGCGCCATAACTTCTTGAAGACAATGCAGTGAGTCAAGCTTGGCCCTTAGGCCTGATTTATATTCTACCAATTGCTATTGATGTAAATATTACTAGAGGTCTGAAATTGTGGATCTCAGAAGACCGATGATGGTTCGATTTGGATCAAAACCTCTGAGCCTAGAAAAAGCATTAGAGATCACCAGACACAATGGAAGCTAGTGACAGTGATGTGGGAGCTAAGGGAGGGGAAGGGCACTCGTTGTACAGTCGGTGCATCAGCTTCTGCTACTCTAACGCCTCCTTGCGGAGCTTAAATAGTTTTCACCCACTCGGATACCAGCGAGTAGAATCACATGATTGACCTCTCTCAAAGACGCTCTTTATCAAGGAACATTGGAACCAGGGCTATTTAATGCCGACGAAATAATATGCATCCATTGAATGCTAAATGAGTTGTATGCATGCTCCCCTGTAAGAAACTAGACGTGCACCAATCTACGTACCTGCTGGGGACTGATCCAAATCTGTGGTTGGAATGATGAATTGATCAGCGCTGGACTTAAACTTGAGCATACACCACACAACTGCAGGCAGAAAAGATGCGCCTTCTATTCATGGACCTTCAACTAATGGACCTTCCACTTTTGAGAAGCTAATAAGGATCAAAGAAAGATGTTGAAAAAGCTTAGCCGTCTGTTGTGGATTGCCTCTATTTACTCTCCATACGAGGTCTATATGATCCCTGATGTACAGTGATTTGCAGGGCAGTCATCTTCAAGCAGCAATTGGACACAGTCAGTCGTGGACTAAAACTGGTGGACATGCAAATAGCTCCGTGGCGTTGGCAATCAGGGTGACACAAGTTGATAGCTCTCAGAACATTTACTCATATCCCTTCTGCATGAGTTAATGGGGAGCTGAAATCACATTCAGGAATTACGAGCTTAATAACTATGAGTATTACTTATCTGCACCCATGTCCCGCTGGAAAGGCATTATTGAAGAAATGCAGATTTCAATTTAATGCTGCCAGTGCAAACCGTTGTATGCTGGCACAGGTGGTGAAGATGAAAGTGAGAGGTGGATAAATTGTGCAATCTCGAGCGACAGGAGCAGCTGCTCCTAAAAAAGAGGTACAAACCCCACATAAAACCATCTTCGTATCAATCAATTTGTGCTTAGTGTTTTCTTTTCTTTTTTAAAACAACTGGGGTATTCCCGTCGCATTGATTGTGGAAATGTTTGCCTACTGCTTCGTTAGCATTGGGTTGAATGTTGACTGTCAATAGATACAGACGCTCTTTACTGCCAAGAGCCTAATTGGAACCTTTTTTTTCCTGTTTCAAGTTCTGTTCTGGACACCGCATCCCAGATTGTTATGAAAACGGTCTCCGAGTATCTCACTGTCCAGTTTTGGCCACAAATTTCCATGTAAAACGTTACTACTCGGCGCTCTTCTCCAAACCATTATTTACTGCACAGAGAATGCAAGAGCCTCGAGTCAAACGGATGCGAAAGCCCTGGAACGCTAAGCTCATTTCCTAAAGATAGTACTATTCGCTGAAAGTGATCCCATTCATGAGGTTTGATCAATTATCCACTAAGTGGCGTATACATGTGAAGAGAAGAGTGGCTATTAATGGTGGCTTGTCACAGGACAACTGGCGAAGCACTCAATTATTAACCACCATCCGTTACTGCGACGCGCTCATGGCGCTCAGTTGTCTCTTGCGCCGAGTAATTTGGTTATTCCGAAAAAACTTACCTATGTGGCGAAGCTCTCTGCGTCTATTGGTGTCGTCACCGATAGGATGGAGCATCACCTCAACTGGACTTTGACATTTGCAACAATCACCGACCCTCTCACATGGAAGAAACAACCATTCACACTTAAATTTGGGAACTTTTAATAAACAACAGATTTCTATCCCGCGAGGGACTTTGAAAACAGTTTCCTTCATATTGAGCGCCAACAACGGTCCTCATCTCAACCAATTCCACAATCGCTCACAACAATGCTGCAGTTGTGAGGGATGTAGTAGCTCTACTTACACAACACAGACCAGACCCTCAAAACACATCGGTGTCGTTGAAGAATGATGTCACTACTAGATCATGTGGAATGCGCTACAATCCCCATTATAACTTCATATGGGCTGTGCTGCGGCCATCTGTGACTCCAGTAGGGAAATCATGGAGCGGACTTGGGGCGCCGAATAAAGGTCAGAGGCGGCGTGTGAATGGCCTGTCCAATACAAACATGGAGTCTTCCGCAGGGCTGGATTGCACAGGTGCTGGAGAGGAGACCACTAATTCTGGCAAGCGACCACGCAACCTCACTTTCCGCTTGGTATAGTGGAGATAGAACGGGTTTGAACGTTCCACGTTGATAACCCTGCGCAGCGTGCTCCTAAGGAACCACTTTGCCTTAACTTCATCTACTTCTCAACCATGTATTTTTTTTGTCCTCGGATAAAACCTACGGCTGCGTAAACCACCTGATCAAACCAAGTGCTGGGAGATCTCGATACCTGAGCATGTGACCGAAAACAAATGTATAAACACCCTGCAGCAGGGATTTAACCAACAAATCGGCGACTTCACTGTTTCTTGTTCTGGATATCTAAACAGAAGATCAATTGCCCAACGTCATACGCTGCCTTGAGAACTTGCCACTAAAGATCAAGGCAGTCGTGGAGCTTGCCCACCGAGAAGAAACGTGCCCACTTCGTTCAGCGTAAAGTCGTTCGACAGATCAAATAGGCAAGAGTTAAACCTTTGCGACTACCAACAATCCAACTCAAGGACTTTTTTTTTCAGAGAACAATTTCAAGGTTGTGTGGACACCAATGTACAGATCACACAGAGGCTTGCAACGATTTCGACGTCATGTTCCCGGGTTGCTGTGGCATGCAACCTTGGGAGGCAGTGTGCCGTTGTGGCGTTCCACCACCTCCATCACTCACGGCGGACATGGCCAATGCACCTTCAACCTGATCAGTGGAGCTGGATCTACCCAACCGGGACGGTAAGCTTCCCTGCAACGAGCTTGAGGAATTCCAAGCGGAAGAGGAGCGATCATGAAGAAGCCCCATCTTGTTATTGCCTTGATGTCTGTACGCTTCTGACCTGTAAGGCTCTTGCGGAACGATAACCAAGTTGGGGACCTCCACCCGAGCTCGTTTTGTGGACTGCTCGTAACCAGGAGAGCTCGTGCGTGCGCCAGCTGCAGCACTCTCAGGTGCTGGAGAGGATTGCGTTGGAAAATCTCGGTCAGCAATCGCGTCAGTCGCGGGAGGGATGAGCTCCTTGCCGGCACGGTCACTGCGAACACCGAAAACTCCACTAGCTTTTGCCTGAGCTTCAAGCATCATCTTCAAACTTTGTCCCTGAGCCTCGATTCGCAATTGAAGTTCTCGTTGGATCTGTGTAGACACGCGAAAGTTTCGTAAGAATCTAGTTTGCGAGAACGAACAAAGTTGGCTTTAAAGCGAGTAAGAATGTTTGATGAGTGTGAAACTGGCGGTATCAATGAAGTAACTAAATGGCGGAGGCTCCGCACCTCCAATTGCTCATGAAGCCGCTTCTGCACCTCCATTTGCATCTGCAAGGCTTGTGTCATTTGAAGGCTCCTGCAAAAATAATCGGCAACGGCCAAGAGTCAGATAGGGCTCCATCGTCTTTAAAACATTGGATCAATCTTCAAATTCATTCATCAGATGATCCATAGTCGACATACTACAATGACGAGTTTTTCTAAAGCTCAGTGCCACATTGATAGAACACTAGCATTAGCACCCCTAAGAATACAGGCCCCTTGAAAACTTACGAATGTATATCCATCGGGCTCAGAGAACTGTCATTCCGTCTTCGATCATTCCTAGAATCTGCACACCAGAAATCCGTAATCGGGAATACTGAGACCAGATCGCAGAGCGAAGCGAGGTCTGATAAATAATATCAGCAAGGATCTTACTAAAACACAACATCTTGCAAGCACTGTTAATCGCTGGATTTAGAAGAACATCACAAGTCAGAGTATACAAGCTTGTACCTTCGGAAGAAACTTCGGGAATAAGCCTATACTTCTGCATGAAACAACAAAACCATCCCAAGATTGACACTAATTGTCAGAGGCAAGCAGTGCAAAGGTGCACCTTCAATAGCTCAGCAGAAATAACGCAACAAACTATTCACCCAAAACCTAACATGCTGATCTACATACCATAACTTCGATCTAGGTTACCAGAGCTAACTACAGAAACCACAGTAGATGCCTGGTTAGAATAGAATGCGAACGACAGGATGGGTGAAAAATGAAGGTCGAGTAAACAACGGAAAACCCACAAGAACTTGGCACTGAGAATAATACCCACGTCACTGACCTGCAAATGACTCTTGACATGGTAGATAGTGATCCCTTCAACTCCCATTACCCGCAGTACTGCTTTTGGTGTTGCGCCTGCATGTGTTGCAAAAACGACAAACACATTGAAAAAGAAGAAGAAGAAAAATAAAAGGACGAAGAACGACAACAATGTTGTGGATTTATCTTTTGGAAAACAAGAAGCATGATAAGAGAAAAACTAGCTGCGTACGTTCAGGGCCGCCCAACTGCGCAACAGCGTCCACAAATTTCTCGTGAAGTTCTGGAGTCCATCGAAGGCGTGTTTTGACGTGCTCTGCAGCTGATGAAAAAGCTGCTGGAGGTACCGGACTGCTCCCTGAAGCAGTCCCTACAGTAAGCCAACCCGATACCGAGTTCAGATTCCACATCAACTATTAACCAGGCCCAAAAGTAAAAAAACAAATATCTGATAACTTCGGCAGTAAAGGAATCCGAGGCAGGCAAACCAAGCACTTCGCACACCTGGCTGTTGCTGCTCGGTACCCGGGTCTCTCATGGCAATGGGTTGAGGAGGCGCCACTAAGTAGAACTTTTCTGGCTGCTGAAATCCCTGTAGTAAGAAGAGTCTAAAACATCAGGGAGCTTCCAAAAGTTGTAGTTGGACGTTGAAATTGCGTAGCAGCAAGATTCCTATAACTGGACAGAAATCAGGATCTCACAAACGAGGAAATTGATGTACATTCCAGACAATCGTGAAAACAGCAAAGGCTTACTCGTGCATTGTTAGGATCTAGGGATCTGCCCTCATTGTACGAGTCTGGAAAGTTTTCCATCCAATTCTTTTCCCATTCAGGGAGGTTTGATGATGCCTCTCCTGTCGGCGAGGAGGTGCACTCACCGCTGTGGGGTAAACGCTGCTCCGAAGAGCCATCCAATAAAGCCTGCAGTAACGATCGAAGGATTCTAAGCCACTTGTTTCGATACATGCAATGCAATGCAATGCAATAAGCATGATAGAGGCCTACACTTGTAAAACCTAGGCAAGAATCCACAGATTCCCTGGAATAGTGGCTTTGTATAACCATAGATTCCACATGCATCCTGCCATCGAATGACGAAGCTAACACTTATTAACATTGCCAAAAACCGTATCCAGCATGAATCCAAAAACTGTGATTCTCCATACAACCATCAGTCGTGGATAAAGATGCCGACCACCAGACACTGCAGCGCAAATTATGGCTTAATCACACGAGGCGACACTGCCTTCTCCGTAGAGAGGACATAATGCAAATATGCTGCCAAGCCAATGTAAACCTTGAAAGATTTTCCTTACATCAGGACGAACACTCTCAATTATCAATCTCCAGGTGCTAGATAAAAGCCAAGTCTTGAACCCGATCAGGTGATAATATCCAAACACAAAAAAAAAAAAAAAAAAAAAAAAAAAAAGAGAAAAGAACAGGAGATGTTTCAAGTTGAGAGTTCAACAAACCTGTAACGGATCGCAAAGAATAGCACCTGCTCCATCTGTCTTAGGAGTAATCAAAAGCCCTGCTTCAGATGGATACTGCCTCAACTGAGTCGCGGATCTAGCCTCTCTCCCAGACCCCAGCTTAGGGAATGGCATTTGCGGTCCAGACTCCATGGAAAATCCTCCACTATCTCCAGCCCCCGGCGGATGCATCCCACCCCGTGGAGAATCCAGACTGATCCCGCTTCTGTTCGGCGGCACAAGAACACTAAGATGCGCATGCGCTGGTCTGCTCCCCCCGCCTGGTCCGCTCAACACCCCGGTCGTCATCCCACCTACTGGCCAATGCTCACCCGACTGCGGGGAGCCTGTGCAATCCCACTGTCCACTAGTGCTCCGCCACTGCTGTGAGAACGATGTGGAGATGTTGTAAGGCATCTGGAACGACGACGAGGACGCCGTTTGCTCGCCCCCTGCCAAGTTCCCGTGTCCCGATTCGTGATGAATGCGTGACATCTGTGTGCTCATGCTCGGGGTGGTGCCTTGATATTGACCATATGGGGACTGTGTTTGCCATGAGGAGGACGATGATCCTGATGCTCCCGTAGAAGAGAACCTTAGCTGTTGATGTTGATTGGCTTCTCCCCCTGGCTGGCTACCGCAAGCTAGAGCTCCTGGAATTGATGAAGATGCCGCAAAGCCCTGTGAGATAAAAGGCATACGTGTATCCGGCGACGCAAGAGTTTGGGGGAATCCTGGCGACGCCCGGGGACTCATGTTGCTGCCACCTCGTTGGTGCGCAGATAGAGTTGTGAGCGACGGTGTCATTTGAGAAGGCATTGAGAGTTTGGCATGGGACAGAAGAAAGAGGAAAGAAGGGGACAAGAAACTTCGCCAGAACGTCGGTAACCAGGTATTATATGCGGCAATCGTGCACTTGCCTGTTTGCTCGATTTGAAGCGGCGAAAGAACCATTTAAATTCCAGAATCTAGCCAGAGCAACTGTAGATGTCGCATTGAAAATGCTAGCTTCAGCTTTTCCAATAGCTTGACCCCTTCCTACGTTGGTCCTATCGTTTGGCAGACGCTCAATTCAGTCTCCCATACAACAATTAATTTCTTCTGTTCTACCTTGAAACTTCAATAGAACTACTTCCACTAGCAAGCCTTTAAAGCATAACCGTCGTTGCAACAACCTCCTCAACAAATCGTAAACCTATGCTCCTGAATCGGCTGAGCAATGAACTCTGAAAGGAGGAAACCAGTTAGTAAAGTGCAAACCCAGCATGGAATCCACCGTCACCGCCACCATAGCCGGAAACTCGGCCTTTTTTTTCTAAACAACCAGGCCGCAGCCGCTTAACAAATTCTCAACACGTAAGAACCCGCCGCAACATGTAACTCCTGGTCCTCTAATCTCCCACTTCTCTCGCAGGATCCAGATATGACTACGAAACCACACAAATTCTCCCGAAGACTCAAACTGATCCCCAAAAAGAAACAAACCGTGAGGTCTCGAACATACTTTCTTACCCCTCCGTTCTCTACCTACCTCTACTCGCAACAATCATACTTACGTCTTCACCTCCTTGCTATCTTTCATCAACGGAACCGATCATAGTGTAATTTTTCCCTTCCAACGCGATTCTCCCGGATTCTCAGGCTGAGAAGGCCCAGAAACAAGGACGCAGTGCTTATCGCTAGCTCCACCCCCCTGGACTGCAGCAATCTATCACGACGCTCTCATCATCGGGCAAGGCATGGCAATGAAACTGATATCGAAAACACGCCGATTGGGGGTCACATGCGAGCAAAGATAAGCTTGGGGATCTATCTGCAACTGAGGTAGATTAGACACGATGCAGGTTCCGGATTTCCTCCTGCGAGCCCAATCTTCCGGAGGCATGCTTTGAGAAAGGAGCACAAGGGGTATAGTGATCGCTTTCCCACCATGCGGAAACTTGTGATGCATCCTGGCTGCTTCGAATCCAAGCATCCCACCATCCCTTCACCCGCAAAGTACGGCACATGAAATCTACACAATGGCGTATATTATACACTGTAGAGGTGTCCCAAAGCGACATGCATTAGCACGTGGTGGCGTATCTAAATGCTTCTGCTAGAATTACTAATACCTGTTAGATTAATTAATACATGTTAGTAAATATAGAATTACTATTAGGTAGTTACAAAGTAGTTATGAAGAAGTTATAACTACTTCTCTCCACATGACAATATATAAGGCTCTTATTATTCCAATGTAATCCAATTATTTTTATTAATATATTTTATTTATTATTTTCTCATTCTTAGTGTTCTTTCTCTTGTGTGATATCAAAGTACTAATTTTCCTTCATTCTCTTTAGTGTAAGTGAAAAACTCTACCTACTATGTCTTCTCATAACACTTCTCACTCTCCATTAATATCTTCATTGTTTGCAAATAATTATTGTACTTGGAGGCTCTTTTGAGTCAAGTGGAATTATGGAAAGTGGTTAATGGCATTGAAGCTATATCTGATGCAAGCAACTCAATGTAATATCATGCTTGGAGTTTGAAGTAAGTAAAAGCTCATATAGATATACTTTTCTATTGTGGATGTAAATAATTCATAACATTAAACAAACTACCTACATCAAAGGCAATTTGGGATCATATCAAGCATTTATACAAACAATAAAATCAAGCTTCTTGGATACATTTCCATAAGAAGCTTTGCAACTTAACAATGGACATAAATGAAGATGTTTATGTATTCATTGAAAATTAGGAATATATCCTTGAGGAAACTGCCAATGCTGATTGTATTTTCATTGAATCAAAATGAGTAAATTTATTAATAGATGCTTTACTTGATTCATGTAGTGTATTTATTACCACCTAAGTTGGAATTAATGACTTAAAAATTTCAACATTAATATCTAATATCTTACAACAAACAACTATTAATTGTTCAAAATGTGACAATTCAAAAACAAGTGCATTTATGTAAAAGAAAAATTTGTTAAGCATAATAAATCCACAAACATTCTAAGATTGAATGATGCCTCCTCTCAACAACATTATTTTAAACCAACCTTTTCTTCACATTTCAATCAACCAATCAAAAATATTATTTATTATTATTATTATTATAAGAAGCAAAGACATAAATTCCAAAAATGTCACAAGAAACAAAGAGATTAAATAAAAAAATCAAAATCTGCAAGTTTTTATGTTGTTGAGGCACCATTATACCTATTTATGGCAATATCCATTGATATTTTTGATCAATTGTGGTATTTAGATTTTGAAGCCAACATCCACATGTCTCCTTTGAAACACCTTTTCAACAATTATACTCCACTAATTCTACCAAAATTTATTTTATTAAGAGATAATAGTTTACATATTGCTCAAGACATTAGATTTGTCAACTTATACCTTAAACCTAATTAACATATATAAATTTTAGAAATTTTATATATTCTAAGATTAGAAAAAAATATTATTAGTATCTCAAATAACTAAAATTCGACACATAAAATTTAAGTTTACAAATAATACATATGTAATTAATAATAAATCATCTTAGACTAGTGAAATTAATTATTTTTCAATCTCCAAACATGATAATCTATATTCCTTAGATGAAGGAGTTTTATTAATACTATCTTCACCTAACATATAAGACAATTGCTACCAATACTTATTGACAATTTTATACTCACCAACCAATGGCCAAACTATATTCCTTCAACATTTGCTAAGATTCAAAGTAACAACTTTAGGCCTCATAGTCCCTCGCCTTGGAGGAGCAACTTTGCCCTGATAAGGCCATGGCTTGTTGTAGTTTTTTTTACTAATGCAATCAAGATCAATTGTAAGTCACAATTATTGCACCACATTTGCTAAACAACAAATGTGCCAACTTGCCTTGATTATAAGTAACTATCTTGCCAAGTTCAATTATGTTGATTTAATATAATAACTTGACTGCACGTTTGAGTGTCCTTTTCATTACAATCTTGGCATTTGCCAGAGCTACACTACTAGAGTTTTACGTATCTATTATGGATAACATCAAGCATTAAACTTGTGATCCCATTAGAATACCAACAACTCTCTACAAACTAATGAGTCTCTTGCAACATTCCTATTATTGAATTCATGGTATCAAATGAACACTCTGACCTCCAACCATTCTTTATTTGCATTGTTTAACTCTAATGCGGTAATAGACATGACAATGACTATCAATTTTCTATTGCAAAGGCAATTTCATAGCTAGCAATAGCCTTATTGCAACATAGTTCTATAATAGCTCTAATGTAGCATAAGCTTGCTTGGCCTAAATCATGAAATGATATCTTTAATGACTTTGTTATTACTAATAGATTTTTAAAATGTATTTGATATTAATGTTTATTATAAATGATTATCTATATTTATTATTTACTTTGCATTTTACATTGATGATATAGTTTTAATCTCAAATGATTTATCTTATTTCATTTTGATTAAAAAACTCTTCTCTTCTTATTTCTCTATGATAAATAGCAACAAAATTGAATACATCTTAGGTATTCAAATTCGTCATAATTGTACTATCTACATTCTAATTCTCTCTCAAGTCAAATATGTATTGAATACATTAAATCTTTTTTTTATGAACAATTGCTATGCCATTTCTACTCTTTTTGAGGCTAGTATTCACTTTTTTCAAGGTCCTAACCTCAAAGAAGGGGGAGGAGAACCATTGAATTTATGGTATCTATTCTATATGCACACATTATTGAAAGTCTATAATACCTTGTCACTTGTACTAGGTATGACTTAGCTTTTGTTGTACATCATATAGCACAATTTATGGCTAAGCCTAATCTAATATATTGGACAACTTTAAAGCCCATATTATGTTATTTAAAAAAAAACTCAAAATTTTGGACTATCTCATTCAAGTTCTTCCACATCTCTACCTCAACTTTATGGTTGGAGTCATGTGGATTATATGAAAGATTTAAATGCTTGAAAATCTACTTCTAGATATTTGTTTTATCTCAACTCATTTCATTTGAGTTGGTATTCTAAAAAACAAGTTGTGGTAGCACAATCAAGTACAAAAGTAGAATACATTGCAATAACAACATCTTTAAAAGAATTAATCTGGCTTCAAACTCTTTTCAAAAAAATCAAACATTAAGTAACTTTACCAAGTATAATTTATTATGATAATCAATCATGTATTGTGATGACACAAAATCTAAGTTTCTATGATTGCACAAAACATATTGATATCAAGTATCATTACATTCAAGAAAAAGTAAAGACAAATGAAGTTATCTTGAAATTTTTACTTACAAATGATACAAAGGGAGATATAATGACAAAGTCACTCCCAAAGCCCAAGCATAACAACTTCATAAAATATTTAATCAACATTGACAATTCAAATATAATTTAATCTATGATGGTTAAAGAGGGGGGGTGTTAAATTCACTAATACATATTAGATTAATTAATACATGTTAGTAAATAATAAATTACTATTAGATAGTTACAAAGTAGTTATGAAGAAGTTATAACCACTCTCCACAAGTCAATATTTAAAGCTCTTATTATTGCAATATAATCAAGTCATTTTTATTAATATACTTCAAGTTATTTTATCATTCTTAGTGTTCTTTCTCTTGTAAATGTAAGAGAAAGAACCAATTGACAAGGACAAGGACCAATTTCAACTGTCAAGGGAAAAAAAACTCCGCCAGCTGTTCAGGTTCTTACTGTGCGTCAAAACTCTCCCGTGACTTCATGTTTATGCATGAGGTTTGGTACCAACTCCAATTTCAAATCTTTCTCATTTCATCACTGCACGACGACGACACCGAGGTGAGTGCGTCACTGAGAGAGAACAATTGGTGTAATCATCCGACTGAAAATTAAAAATTAAAATATTCCCAGTGACTGTAAAAAATAGAAAACGGATTCACCGCCAAGCTGTCGTTTCAAAAGCACGTTTTGTCCATACCTGCAGATTAAACTAGGGACCGCGACAATATTCTCCAACCTTGCCGGTTCCACATCCGCCACAAACTCCGAGTTCTCAAACTTTCCTTCCTGCCAAACTTGCTGGGAAGGCTCCCCATCCTCTAAAGCCTCAGCTGCGCACGTTCAATTGCCGCAATCCAATCACCACCCAGCAAGTCCGCCCGCGAGGCAGCCGTGGACCTTGACGTAGCATTGACCTTCCAGAGAATCCGCTGGTTACCGCCCGATCGCCTCGAAGCCCCCTTGAGAACGAACCCCATCCGAATCCTGGAATGATGACGATCGATCGAGGACTGCGCGAAACGGGGTCGAAGGTTCGCGCGCGCAAGCCAAGGGACAAAAGGAACAATACAGGGCATCCTTGCGTGTCCTAATCCTGGCAAGGGTCAGGCCAGCAGCACCCTTGCTGAAATTGGCCCTTCACGGGATTCTGATCCAGGAAGTTTCTCGGTCTTGCCCGCTGGCTTATTCCGGTGCGAAGGTGTGTATGGGGTGGGGGGAGGGGAGGGTATATTTCGCTGCACCCTTGGAATCTGAGTGTGGTGGTGTTGGCCTGGCGCTCCCTCGCAACCCTCCCCAAAGTGCCCCTTCGCAAAAACCCCCCCCGCACTGTGGAATTGTGGATTGATCACACCTCCGAACTAAGAGGCGAAACACCACCCCACCTCAACCCTATTAATTCTATCGTGATCTCTCTCTGCTCCCCTTCCTCCTCAGTGCTTGCTTATTCGTCTCCCCCCTTCGCGATGCGTTACCCTCATCGGCACGCGCTCTAGAGCGAGGCGGACGGGGGCGGGGATACTATTGGACATGAAGCTTCATTGCAACTTGCCCCGCGCCTTGCCTCCGAGTCGGGCGTGAAACCACTTCGCCACCGCGTGTGGCGTTCACACGAGACGACGAGAGTCTATTTCCTATCCAGTTCCACGACTACCGCGTTCACACTGTCGGGCGTCTGATCCTCTGAGTCTGGCGACGTTGTGCAGATTCACTCCTTGTATCCCCCGCCCGTCGTAGCCCGTGCGAACCAGTAAACCCCCCCCCCCAACACACTATTTTTCTTTTCCACACTTTACAGTGTTAGTGGCAGCTCTTATGGGGTTTGAATGGGTCAAAAAGGATAAAGGATATCCAAACCGGCATAAAGACTAATTTGGAGGCTGAATGTGTGTGTATACTGATCTTGTTGTGCTCCCCCTTGTGCCCATTATTCTGTTCCCCATTTTGTGAAGTTCCCCGATAGATGGTAGGCAAACCCAATTAGGGTTTTATTAGCAATAAACCAGGTTTTACTTGTAATGGAGATCGCATGTTCCTGGGTGGATGTGTAGAGTTCCAATGGGACACAAAAGCCCCATTTCAATGGGTAATGGGCGCATGCAATAAAATAAATAAATAAATGGAAATTATTCCCCTTGCCTTGAGAATCTACCCTTCTCCCAACAATTATTTGATATATAATATTGATATGTATTTTTATTTTTATTTTTAATAGAAACATCTTGATTGCCTTTGGAAAACCACTTCTATTCTTCTTTTTTCAAAATTCACATTTCTTTGTGCAGCTAAATATAGGAAGTAAATATATTTTATATCAAATGGAAAACTAAATGGAACTTTATCATTAGAGATGAAAATCACATTTAATGTAAAGAAGAAATATTACATACAAAGATAAATTTTATATAAAAATAATATTTTTTTATTCTTTTTATTAAAAAATAATTTTTGATATATTATATAAATAAAAAATTATAATATTTTTAATTGATATCAAAAAAAGTTGTTTTCTTATTTAAAATATGATTAGTAATACATTGTCTTTTACAAAACTAAAATAATTATAGTTTTTAGAAATTTAATAGAAATTATTTTCTAGATTTTATTTATAAATATTGTAGCTATATTCAATTCATTTAATATCAATTATATTTTATATAAGAAAATATTAGCTAAATTAAATCACAAATAATACCTTTTATATGAATTTATACAATATGTTTTTATGTAAATACTAATTGAATTTAAGTCTATTTATAGAATATTTATTCTTCAAAATATAATCAAATTTTTAGTAAATTAATTTTTATTTTTAAAATTTTATATATTATCATAGTATTTTTAAAATTTTTATTGAATATTTAGCTTTTATTTTTTTTCTTCCATAATCAAGCATGATCAACTAAAATATATGATGGTTGTTAAAATATTTATAAAATTTAGAAATAAATACCTCGACTTTAAAATTATTAATATGCAATCTAGTAAAAATTTAAAATTCAAAATGCATCAAAGGATGTAAAAATACAACTAACACCTTTAGTAATTATTTGTCATAGAAATATATATTTACTCAGTTAAGAAGTATTAGGTAGAAGATAAATGTAGGTAGATTTGATATTATTTTGTGGCAAAGCTTCTTAAAAGCTTCATAGATGTGTTTTTGACTTTATACATAATTATAGTTGATTGATAGATTAAAAATTTAGCTAACAAATTAGTTATGTGTCGCATATGCGGATAGCTCGTGGTACAAGCTAACAATGTGGCACAAATATAGGAAACTTACCTTGCAAGTTAAATCACATGTCTTGCAAATTAAACACATGTTGAATGTCCTATAGAACATTTTCACATAACTCTTAGTTAGATAGTATATATGGAGGCAAGAATAAAATCTTCTTCACTCTTGTCAATGCCTTTCCAATCTTTAGTCTTATTTCAAGACTTTCTAATCTTCTTGTCTTTAGCAATCGCCATTCAAATTTAATATTATACCATCTTTGAATGGTTTTCTAGTCTTTTTTATTAACATTAAAATTTATTAATCATTTGGTTCTTTGAAATTAATATACTTGACAATTTGACAAAAGTACTAACTTTTTATCCTATTTTTGTTTGAGAAGTAAGTAAATTAATCCACTTCTACTCTTGTATTTTGAAAGTTGTGGACTATCTACTTTTAAATTAATTTTTAGTTTTTTAAATACTAATTTTTTTCTTTAAAGAGAGTAGACTACCTCTCTTTATAGAAATTTTCATTTGATATTAGAGGCTGCAGATTACCATTCTCTAGTTTGACTTATGAGTTTATTTGAATTGTCTATAAAGAAAAAATTATAGATGCTACTTATGGTAGAAATGAGAATAGATTTGCAACTATTGCAAATCTTTACAAGCTTGTCAATACTTTTAGAGCCAAATCTCACATATTTCTAATATAAACTATAGAGATATTATTTTTGTATCCATGAAAGAAGTTAACAATAAGATTTAGACTCTATATCAAGAAGTTATATAATTAAGAAAAGCAAGTAGATTAAGTTTATAATTGAATGTAAAAAGCCTTATTTCTACAAATATACAAAAGCTAAGGATAAATGTGCTAAAGAAGTTTGACAAAATAAGGTCAAAGTTTTGAAGATTTTTACAACAAGTGAAGTTCTTTCTTAGATTCTAATACATTGATAGATTTACTCAAGTTGGATTCATAAATGTTGTTTTTTTTAAGAGTGATCTCTTTTAATTTGCACCTTAAATGGAAAAGGATTCATGATTCTTTTACAATCTAAATTCAATCTTAGAAACATATACAACTATGTTTGAAGAAAATGATCAAGAAAAGATAACAAAGACCAAAGTTCTATCTTTACAAAAAAGATCACGTTTAACTACTTTATATGTTTCAAAATTCCAAAACCTTTCTTACAATGTAGATTAAAATGACAAAGCCTTTATTTATCAATTTCAATATAGATTGAAAGATAATGTTGAAGATATATTATTAATAATATTGAGAGCTAATTCATTGGAATAATTCATTATTCAAGCTATTGCATATCATAGACATATTAACCCTAATAGTTATCTAGGTAATATGAATAGATAGAATTAGATATAAGTAGATTAATTTAATAATATCTTTATGTTTTTATTGTAAATTCTTAAGACTTCTTTTAGAGTTTAATTAAAAAATTATTAATATTTTCATAATTTAATTAGAATTTGTTAAGGATTCTATTAGAATTATTAAGATCATCTTGTTGTAAATTTTATTTTACCTTCTATAGCTAATGCTTAGTATTGTCATATTACATGAAGTCTTGCTTGAAAATGCACCAGACATCTTGCTATGGAAAGTAGAAGAGAATCAAGTCTAGTTTGTACACAAAAAAAATTACTTCAATCCAATCAATAGATTGCTAAAGATCTTAAAATTACTCACTGTCCTTCAAATTTCAATTTCGGAGACCTCAACCTACAAAAACCTTCACTTACTTTGATCTAACTATTCAATTGACTTCAAAATTTGCACACACATTTATAACTAGTACACCAACACTTTATCCAAAATTTATTTTTACACATACCACAAAACTTAAGAAACCCTCAAATGTATAAACATAGTTTTATTTTTCAAAATCTAAACCAACCAAGAACATCACTAATTTTAAAAATCTCTCCAAAATTGAGTATTAACTCAATTGATGTAAAAATAATGCATAAAAAAGTTTTTACAAGTCTGCTCTCAAACCTTGCTCTTCAATCTATCAAAGAATCTTAGAATTGCCATAAGTACATAGTTTTGTGCCTTGGGATCTGATTTTGATCCAAGTTGACAACCGGTGTCATGATACGTGAAGTCTTGCTTAAGAATGCTCCGAGAACTTAGCTGTGGAAGGAAGAATGTAAATTGCAATAACAAAATCTTAATTCTAATAGAATACTAGCTATGCTCTAATTAGACCATAATAATGCTAAGCAAGCTTAATCAAATTCAAAAAAAACCTCAAAAAAATTTCAAACAAACAATAAGAATTCTTAAAGAAATATTAGAAGGATCACAAATATCACTCAAATACATCTCAATTCAATCTTAATTTAATTCTAGTTAAAATCCTATTGAACTTCATTCAAACTTTAGGCCAAAACTAATTGAATCTTAAATCCTAATAAAATCCTAAACCTTGAATCAAACCCTAAACAAACCTTAAACCATATCTCAATCAAATCCTAAACCAAATCCTAGCCCAATCCTAAATCAAACCCTAATCTAAATCCTAAACCCTAAACCAAATCCTAATCCAAATCCTAAATCCTAAATCAAACCCTAACCAAACCCTAAACCCTAAATCAAATCCTAACTAAACCATAAACCCTAAATCAAATCCTAACCAAATCCTAATTTAAACCCTAAATCCTAAACCAAATCCTAATCAAACCCTAAATCCGAAATAAACCCCAATCAAATCCTAAACCAAACCCTAACCAAACCCTAAATCAAATCCTAGTAATTCCTACAACAGATTTAAACCTCAATAATTAATGAATAAACCGTTGATCTTAACTCAAATTTTTCACACTTCTAAAAAAATAAGTTGAAAACAAGCAAAAAAAAATTCAAAAGGATCGAAGTTACCAAATTGACGATAACCTCAAAAATGTGTTCGGGTATTGGCTGGCCTCCTTCTCCAAACTTGATGCCAATCTTCCAAAGCCAATATCTCTCTTTTGCACCGTTCGATTGATCTCAAAATTCTCATATATATAGAAAAATAAGTCTAATATCCTCTCACATAAATTTTACTCCAATCCAACTAGTAGATTGCAAGAAATTTCAAAATCCCCTACTAGACCTAAAATTCTACTTTCTGAAATCTTGACCAACTTAAACCTCAATATTCCTCAATTCAACCATTAGATCAAGCTCAAATTCACGACACATATTACACAGAACTATAACCATAAAC